ATGTAGATGACCATTGTGGCAACCCAATTATTCATTAAATTTTTGTACTCAAATTTATTTAAGCTGAATGTCTTAAATATTTGAACTTTTAAATAACTTATGTATTAAGTTTTCATTACATTAAATATGTCAAGGCTCCAGAACTTATTTCTTAAATGGACCACACCAACCAATTAAAGCATATAAAATTCGAGAGTTAACATCCCTCGTACATTAAAAGAATTTTGCTCTCAAAATTACCTTAACTTAAACAAACAACTCTAGATTCTTGGCTTTGATTTCTATTTCTGTTTCCAAAGTAACATCATCTATCCCGTAATGTCGTCATTCAAGCTTGACCAATGAAATTCTCTTAGTCCTTAATTTCTATACCTTTCTGTCCAAAATAGCAGTTGGAACTTCTTCGCAAGATATGTTTTTCTGAACATCTAATATTTGATAATTAACCACATGACCAGAATCGTGCACATAGTTTCTTATCATAGACACGTGAAACACACCATGCATGAAAGTAAGTTCAGGCGGTACAAATAAACGATACGCAATATTACCAACCTTGTTAAGAATTTAGAAAGGTATTATACAAAGCGGTCTCAACTTGTCGTTCTTACCAAATCTTAGTACACCCTTCATAAGCGACACTTTCAAGAAGATACTTTCACCAACTTTAAAATTCAGATCTTCTCTTCAATTGTCCGCATAACTCTTTTGTTGATTCTGAGATGCTTTATGCGATATCTGATATTATTGACTGCTTGAACTGTTCGCTCAATGATTTTTGGATCCAAATTTTTTTTTTCTCATTGACTTCTTCCTAATGAATCGACAATCTACATTTTTTCCATAGAGAGCCTTCTATGGTGCCATACTAGTTGTAGACTAAAAAACTGACATTGCAAACTCTACCAAATAAACATAAGATTCTCGACCTCCTCCTAAGTCCAATATACAAGCACGCAATATATCTTCCAATAACTGGATTAGTCCTTTCAGATTGATCATCTGACCGGAGATGGTAAGCTGTGCTTAAATTAAATTTTGTTCCCAAATCTTCATGTAAGCTTCTCCAAAACATAGAGGTAAACCCGATGTCTCTATTTAAAACAATGGATACTGGGACTCTATGCAATTTGACCATCTCTCTAATGTATTATTGTGCCAACTAATCTTTACTATATGTTGTTTTCACAGGCAGAAGGTGAAATGTCTTCATCAATTAGTTGATAATTAACTAAAGGGATAATTGCAGCAAAAGTCCCAAACCTTTCAGATTTTTGCGCACTTTATCCTAACCTTTGATTTGTGCCAGCGGAGGTCCCAAACCTTTAATAAATATGCGGTGGAGGTCCAAATGGATGGTTTCCATCCATTTGACCGTTAGTCAACCTAAACAGTCAAAATTGACCAAATTCATTAAGGGCAAAATGGTAACTTTGCAATTAATACATTTAAAATAATTACAAAGAAAAAGAAAAACACCTCTCTCTCTCTCTCTCTCTCCCCCC